TCATTGTCAGTTCTTTTTAATACCATAAAACCAGGAAGCTTTTGAAAGGCTATTATTATGATAGACATTATACATGTAACCAGGGCTTGAATTTGAACCAAGGCTGGCAATGCAATACAATAGTTTCTTATGTTAAAATAAACCATAGATACAGCTAGGGTAGGAAGGAAAGAAGTGAAACTAAAAAAAAATTATCAAAGATTGTACAATCAAATATTTCCTATCAATAGTCTGTTAAAATGCAAGCAGATACAGTAACATGGGGACCAATTTTGCATTTATTATATAAGTAAGTAATCCTACTAAAGTAATTTTTTTTTTAAGTACCAAGGCCTGGAGGTCAGGACTTCCTTTGTCTTCAGATTTTAAGCAAAGAATAAAGGAGTCTATGAACCAGTAGTTGACAGACACTGTTAACAAGGGAATGATGTTTTTCACTGTTCTCCTCTACAGGTTGTGTCTGTTTTTTCCAATTCATATTTAGTGAAGGAAGAATTGGACTGACACTATGCTAAGAACCTTTCCAATCATCCACACATAATTGGGATGTTTAATTAAGTGATGTGCTTAATATGCAAACCCAACACATTCAGAAATGCTCCAGCTAAACTAGGTTGCAAAAAGGCAGTGTGCTTATTATATAAAATTTTAAAAGTTGATCCATTTTCATAACTCTTACAATAGCCTTTAAATTCATTGAAAGGGAAGTATGATCTTTGTATTGTCTCCACAACTCTTTGACCCTTTCAGTGAAGTGAAACTTAGGTTAGTATAAACATATATATAATTTATTTTTTCACCTACAGCTATTAACTGACTCTTCTAAGATTACATCTAAATATTTTTTTTTTACTTTTTCCATTTTCTCATTTCAATACAGTTTCAGAATTGTTTTTCCTTTCTCATCGCAGAAGACATAACCCTATGTTTATGCCCATTTTACCCAGTACTTTTTGGTGCACAGAGTGACACTTCAGGTTTGTGCTTAACTCATCTAGTAGGAAGATAAATAAGGGTAAATGAAACTTCATTTGTGCATCACTATGGGAAGTGGTAGATACTCCAGTGTACTAAATACCAAAAGAGAAAAAAAAATACCAACTGAAGTTGCCTATTTCCTTCTTTCACTTATGAAAATTTTAAATGTTAGACTGCATTATTTATCAGGACTTCCCAACAGAGCAGGATATCCCTTCTGAGTTCATTGGTAGCTACAAATAACTAAGTTTTCTTACCTCCAACCAGACTTTTATTTTCCTTCTCAGCAGAAAATATCTGAGGTAAGTTCTCCCTCCCCTCTCCTATCACTCATCTGAAATTGTGGTGTCTCACTAGAATATTTGTGTGAATAGAATATATGGTGGAAAATATTTCCTTCAACTTAATACTGCACTTGCTAAGGTATATATATTTCAGAAATTTATCTATAAATTTACAAATCTGAGGCTGGTTTTGCCTGTGCAAATATTGATAGAGAGCATAATCTCCAAATTTTTTTATATACACAGTTAATCTCTATTCATCTGTGTCCATGAGTTCTTAGTATAGCTTGTAGTAGTAAAGAAATGCAACAAGATATTAACTAAATGATAAGAGCAAAATAAGGGAAATGTGTCATTTAAAGCTAGGACTTAATAAACAACTGATTTAAAATAGTGAAAGGATAATAACCTCTAAAAATGCAAACCTAGAAAACTTGCTTAAATTTGCTATATATCAAATCAGTCACAACAGCAAATAATAATATAAAATCTGGCTATAAACTTGCAATATATCATGACATGCCTTGATTCATTAAACTTTTCTTATAATGTGCATTTGTTATGCATTATATATAAAGTACATTTATTTGTTGATGTAGAGATAATTAAATGAAGACCCTCCACTTGTTGAAAGTGCTAAAGGGCTGTTAGGTGAGAGGTGTATAGGAAGCTTCTCATCATATGATCAAGTGTATACAAAAAAAAATATGTGTATGTATATATGTCTGTCTGTCCATGTATCTCTATGTAGCTATCTATGTGGATTGGTTGCATTTTTAAAAATTCAACATGCTTGTCTTTCTCTGTCCCTTATGTGAGTCTTATTTGTTATTTGGAGAAAGCATAAGTGATTATTAGAAGAAAAGGCATTTTAAAGATAGATTTTTCCAAACTGCTTGTTCTAACCATTCTATTTGTTTATCAAAGAACAAACAATTACAAAAACGGATCATTAAATTTTAAACAAGTAAACAATTGGGCAACCCATTAAGTCAATTAATTTTGGAGCTTACATTTCAGAATGCCTTTATAATGTAAATTCAAACACAATAAGTTAGTTCTAAAATAAATCTAGAAATATATTTGAAAATCACTGAATCCTTTTCTTAGATTTTTATAACTAATTAATTCATATTTTGAGATATCAGTTGTTTCAGAAGAAACACAGCTATTTCTTAGTATTAAAAGTGAAGTTTTTTTGAGATATGAGTTAATCCCCTCTGTATTTCTTTTATTTTCTTCTTCTAAATTCCTTTTCATTATTAATCTCTCCATTCCTTATAAAATGTCAGACTCAAAAAGTTTAAACTGCATTAAAAATGACTATTAAAATAAATTGTGCACCATGTCTATTAATCTTATTCTGGTTTCAAAGACACATGTTTGTCCTGTGAATTTGTTCTGAAGCAGTATTTATATAAATACTTGCTTTTATTTACAGTACAAGTGAATTGTTTTTTCTAGGAAAGAAAGTGATTGCTTTTTCAAAGGTTGTAAACTTGGCAAGTTGACAAGTTGTTTGATTATGTGCTGGTTATTACAAGCAATTCCTTCAAACAGTGTGACTGCCCCTGCACTTAGTATGTAACTCAGACTTTTACACAAGGTTTTCCTCTTTGCCTGTCTTGCCATCCTTTGCTGTCTCTCCATATCCTTTCTTTCTTCTCTAGGATTTTCTGCCTAGCTTTTCTTACTCTGTAATTTCTTTGCCTCCCCTTTCTCCTTTTTGAGTAGACTTTTTTTTTAATCGAGGTAACATTGATTTACAACACTGAATATGATTTGGAGGTGTATGTTTACAGCTCTCCAAATGTATGTTACCACGCCACACCTACCACAAAAATACTTGTAATCCCCTTTTGTTACTGGGCAAAGGGTCTCAAACTGTCACTGGGTCAGAACCTCTGTCATTGGTTCTGGATCCAGCCACCTGCTACAAATACAAACAAAAGTGCAGCAAAAGAAAAAAAAAAAAAGAACCAATTTATTTTAGCCAACAGGTGAGAGGGAGAGCGAAGAGAGGAAGAAGGCCCACTTAGCAGCCAATGGTGTGAGGTGGAGTTGTAGCTCTTGGAGCTGGCAGGATGCAACTGCTACTGTGCTCAGAGCCTCCCCCTACCCTAAGAGAGAGGCACGAAGCACTGCCCCACTGACCCACTGCCAGCTGAGCAACAGGATGGCAGCCTTCCACAGCAGTTCAGATGAAAATAACAAGCTAGCCCATGTGCATCACTCCCTATTCAAGACTCCCCCAATGGCCACTTACCTCTGTCTGCCCCCTTATCCCAGCAGCCCCCTCTCTCAAGACATAAGGGGTGGAGTTCAGACCAGGGCACTGTGCAGGATCATCCCCACCTGCTTAGACAGTATCTGAATGCCAGGGAGCAGAGTTTGGCCCCTTGGATTTACCCTGCTGCTCTAACACTTTGAGTAATCTTCAGGTTTCTGCACTTCCTTGTAGAAGTTTACTTAGCTAGTGTTGGGGCACAAAATAAGTCTTTTCATACTCCTTTGGGTTCTTCTCAAGCTGGACGAATGGATGAGTAATCAAAACAACATCAGAACCTGTTAGCAAAGGAAAAGCAATAAATTTAATAACATACATCTGAAGAGTTCACTTGGCTGTAAATTCTGAAGAATAATGGAGGGGGCCAGGGCTATTTATCCTGGGTTTTAGGTCCTGGGCATCAGTGACAGAGAAGAGGAGACTTCACATAAAAACAAGAAGGGGGTAACTTATTCTTACTCTGAGAGTACAGATGAGATTCTCAGACAGAGAGAACATGTTTACTAAACCTAGAACTGGTGAGACCCTCCCAAACTACAGCCTTCTAGATCATGAAAGGGAAGAGTAGTGATTGTATCTTCTTTTAGGGAGGAGTGAAGGATTTGGGCAGAAATAGAAACTTCTGGCCAAAGAGGAGCTCAAGCTCTTAACCCAAAACAATCTGCCTTCTTTAAGTAATGGCAGTAGGACTCCTGAGGCTCACAGAGCCTTGATTAACTGGTTCTCATACCAAAATGAGGAGAAACTTACTCTGACTCTTGTATGAACTGACTTCACAGTTGAAATAAGAAAATGTTTGAAGAAGCCAAAATACTAGGCTTATCATTTTTTTTTGAGAGGACCTATATATTTAGCTACTTTCTGTTATATGTGTCTCCTATATGAGTTACTACATGTACTCACATAATAATATGTATTGCTATATTAATTATTCTAGTACTTTCTATACCATTTATATGTACATATATATGTAAAATTTTGAAGATGAGGATTATGTTTTATGAGAAAATCATTCTCCTTACATTCTTTTTACTAACTTACAAAGATATTTATAAGAATATTGTAGCTGATTGTTTAATCTTTATGATTTATTTTAATCATACCTTCAGACTTTTTCAAATAGCTTTTCATTTATAGCATTGTGACATTGATGAGTTAATGGATTATAAAGAATTGAATAATTTTTATTTTTTACTATGTTAGTCAAAGCTCAAACATCTTAATACAATGCATAGGTAGAAAAAACTAGAATCTGGTGAAATTTGATCTCTCTGGCAAACAAGTATCTTAAGTATTACGGTGCTTTAATATTATTATTAAAATAGTTAAATAATGTAACAGATTATAAGTACTGGTTATCATTGGTGAAGAATTTATTAGAGAGGACACAATAACTATGAAATAGGTTAACACTGGTTATGACCACCGTTTTTCTTTCTCTCTCTGTCAAG